GACTCGCCACAGCACATGCGCCATGCGCTGTTCTTTTGGTTACCCACGTTAAATTAAATACGACCTCAACGTCAAAGCATTCTATCACACTCATCGATGAATCACGGCTGTTTTCAACGCTAAACTATAGGCAGTTTTTAAATATGGCACACAACGCTCTGCGTTCACATTTGTCGTCACTGCGCATGCGTCATACGCTGTCCCCTTGGGTGACCGCGCTATAGAAGATCGCACCCAACGAACGCTAACACTCCGTACACGCAATTAGGTAGCGTTAGAATAGGAAGTTTTAGAATACCGTTTGCAAGCGCTGCGGGCGTTGCGGGCGCCATATGAGTTTTAGAATAGCGCTTGCCCTGCTGCGAACCGCAACGCACGATCACAGCGACACCGTAGCCTCGAAACCAGCGCTTGCGGGCCACATGCGGGCCGCCATTACCGCACGCAATTTCGGATTTTTTGCGTGCGGTCCGCGAACGCCGACTCGCGTTACGACGCATGCGCAGTGGCAGCGACCGCACCGCAAGGGCTCGCGGTGCGCTATTCTAAAACTACCTAGCGTTAGAATAACGTACGTTGCGATCACCGTGCCTTCTGTCACTTACAACGGGGGCCCGCGTGAGGCTATAGATGACGACGCAAGCACCGTAACGAGATTTGCGTACGTTGTTCTAAAGCTCCCCTATTCTATGCTAATGTTCTGTATACGCTAAAACCACACGATGCCACGAAAACAGCGAAAGCGTGTATACCGCTGGCGCGTCAGAGTCCAAAAGCGACAACGTTATTTATTATCACTCGCGCGCGAGCGACCATAGCGGGACTGCCGGCCTTGTGACGTCAACAAAACGGGAGCGTGTCGCGCGATCGAACACAATGGGAACAATGCGCGAAAACAAACTCCGGGGGACACAAAAAAAAAAGTAGCAGATAGACCACTGCGACAGGCGACCGTCACTGGTTGTTGCACGCCGCCGCGAGAAACACACGCTGTCACGGCCCAATGTCACGGACAAACACACGATGTCACGGCCCAATAGACACCTACACGATCGGAACGCCGCACTACATTGAGTGCTCCGCGCTCCAATAAAGATGTCACGGTGTACCGCGCGCCTATGCATACTTCGACCACTCGGGAGTCATTATAAACAGTCTGCAAATATGCGCGCGCCTATAAACTGTGTTTACGGATGTGTGAGCTTGTCATTACCTTGGGCTGTTGAAACGTCTCCGCTTTGTGCCGGCGACGCGACTAAAATCATCAAATCGATTGATCGATCGATATGTCGGGTTTAACGTCCCAAAACCACCATACGATTATGAGAGACACCGTAGTGAAGGGCTCCGCAAATTTCGACCACCTGGTGTTTTTTAACTTGCACCCAAATCTGACTAAACTATCAAAAGCGTGAACGTATATAGACTTCACCGATCGAGCGTCGAATAGTCAACCGAGTCTGAGCATCGCCACATGTACTTTTTAGAACATGCAGTAATTCTGAGTAGGTAAGCAACCGCAGCATAATGAAAATTTGAAGAGCACCCCAGAGCTAGCAGCAACATCGTCACAGTGACACACTAAGCTTCAATACAAAACTAAGACTATAAACTTTCCTGAGATACAAATTTCATGAGTAAATGGCAGGACATGCAACTGTCAGTCCCGTCGTGTCTCATGGGTTTCAGTTGTGTAGTGCTAAAACAAAGATCCCGTTGTGTCTCGTGGGTTTTGTCTTGTGTAGCGCTAAAATGAAGATGCCCTCTAGTATTCACAAAGTCAGCCAAAAAATAAGTTCCTGCTAACTATGAACTATATACGTTTACGAGCGCACTTAGATGCCGCCAACTTGGGCTGTTAACGTCGCGTCGTACGGTGCCGGTAACAACAACAACAAAACCATCGAACGGAACGACGCTCAAACGCACAGAAGCGGGCACGGGCGTACTCGGCGCGTCATGGTTTATTTGACGATACGACTCGTGCGAAACTGAGAAGCCGTACACCTTTCAAGGCATTCATTGAAGCCATTTTCCGACCCACTATGTCCGTGCCCCTCATACAGATACCCAGAACGGGGCATTTGAGGTATAAATAAATAAAAATAAATAAATAAATAAATAAATAAATAAATCGGCAGATCCCACGTACTTTGGGAATCGACGTTATACGATGCATGCGGAGGGAAGGTGACCTTGTAATTTTTTTTATTGAGCGACCAGTTACGAAATCACGCTAAATATATATATATATATATATATATATATATATATATATATGCAAATTTTACACGCACAGACATATGTTGAAGAGTTGAAGATGTTTGTATAACCGGTCCTGCACTTGCGCAACGATGTCATCAGGAACACGAGCATTAGCAACAGCAGAAGCAATAAGCTGACACGAGTGCTCGCGACGATGGTAGCCCTGGACACTGCTATATAAATAAATTTTGGGTCTTGGCCCCTAACTATAATTTAACGTTAACCTTACGTGGCGGCTGATTCAGAGAAGTGCATATGTAATGTTTATAAAATTTGATAGCCAGCACTGCAACCACAATTGACGTCTCACGAACATTAAAGTCTATTTGGGAAGTATTTCCGAGACCTGTCGTGGCTCTGTGGTAGAATGCTTGACTGCCACGCAGGATGCTGGCGTTCGATTCCTGCCGAGACCCTGACATTTATTCTTTGCATGCTTTAGGTCAATGCTGACTATGTCAGGTTTTTCTTGGCACTGATTCATATGTGGGGTTTAACGTCCCAAAACCTCCATATGATTACGAGAGACGCCGTAGTGGAGGGCTCCGGAAATTTCGACCACCCGGGGTTCTTCAACGTGCACCCAAATCTGAGCACACGGACCTACAACATTTCCGCCTCCATCGGAAGAGCAGCCGCCGCCGCCGGGATTCGATCCCGCGACCTGCGGGTCAGCAGCCGAGTACCTTAGCCACTAGACCACCGCGGCGGGCCATTTTTCTTGACACTCACTCGTTAAAATTGTCCATGTGTGTTTTCATCGCTCCTGGGTAGATACTAAGTGTCAACCACTTGCCACACACTAGCATACCAGTGGCACATAGTCACCCGCGGGTATGTGCAACTGTCTAGCGGGAAGTGTTTGATGATGTACGCGATGTGATTGTGACAATATTAATACTGTGACCAGCGCGTCATATTCGTCAAACCATCTCACTCTCCCATACTAATTTTGGTTCACGCCAAGGGGGTGATCACGAGAACACCCAGACGTAAGCGGCAAGATAGATACGCAGATAGACGCCTGAAGTGCTTGCAGTGCGCAAAAAAAAAAAATCCTTCGCATTTAATAAACTTTTCGTAGCACAGGAACACTTGAAGTCTAGCTTAGGGGAGCGCGGATTTGGGTTAGGAAAAAGTTTGGATCATTTTTTTTTCTAACTTTCCTAGAAGAGCGCCGCTTTTGGTTAGGAAAAGGTCGGAATTTCGGTTTCCTAACCAAAATTCCAATTTTCCGGCGCACTGCAATTCACACAATAGTGAGCCGTATATGAAAAAAAAAAACAGATTCTGGGGAAAATTAGGGACACCACCTGCTCGAGAACTGTTGGAAGTTTTCACATAAAAATACGAGGTTCCTTATGAATTAGTGACAGTTACTTGTTCCTTTCGCAGGCCGAGAACCGGGTATTGGATCGCAGGTTGTGATTAAGATGTTCGATATTGACCACCCGAGAATCTCAGTAACGTTCGCTACGTAAGGCAATTATAATTTAACACAGCGCACGCTTCAGAACGACTATGACAACTGAGCTAAATTTGGGCGTATCAGCATCGCGATCGAAGCATCTGAAGCGTATACGCAGTCCAATGATCATGATACGTTGTTGCGTGAGGGACGATTTCGAAAGCCGCTACCACATATACGTATGACAAATTGGGCAGGAAGTTCCTGTGAGCAGCGGCAACTATTTACGGAGCATGCACCGAAACACAGAGCGACGATTCCATGTTCTGGTGGCGCCACCTCATTCTGTCAACGTGACAAGCGTCGCTCGCCGTTGCTCCCTGAACCCACTACCCAATATATTACAGTACACTGTACTGTAAGCTCATATGATTGAATAACTCTGCTAAAACCTACCGCGCGCTCTGACATTTTGGCCACACGTGTTGGGCCGATGCGGTGGGCTACACTCGTGTGACGTAATTCTCTCTCCTTTTTCTTTAGATGCGAAGCATCTTTTTTACTAGCCTGTGTAACGCTGTCCCTCCGTACGAATGCGCCGCGCGCTGCAGGTGTTGGCGCGGTGCCGAGTAGGTCACGCCGCTGCTGCGCGTTGACGTCACGCTCCCCTCGCAGTGCGCACCTGGCGTCTCTCTCTCTCGCATACCACACGCTTGCCGCGGCGCCCGCAGCTACCGCCTTGTCCGTACGCCCGACACACCTACCGCGACCGTCGCTCGCTACACCACCGACTCGTCGGTTCACGCGCAATAAACCTGACGCGCGCCTAACCGTGCGCGATTGAAACATGTCTGCACGTGTCACCTACAATACCTACGCCAGCCATCGCTTCAAACGAATCTTCCAGCGCTTACCGCAACACACGCGTTAGCGCCATTCAACCCGTGACGCTACCCATGCGCAATGCTGCTGCTTCGCATCCCACCAGGGTTCTCTTCTGGGAGATGGTCCAAGTGTTTCTCCTTTCCTCCATGCTGCCTAATGCCGCCCCCTCCCCCAAACTTTCTGTGCAACCCCAGCTTTGCCGGCTTCATGAAACTTGGCCTTCCATTTGAAATCTGAAAATGTTGCCGACCCCCGCTGTAGAATAATTTCGAATGAAAAAAAATCCGAGCCAAAGCATCAAATGAGGTGCGAAGTTCAGTACCGCGGAAGACTGAAATACAGGTTTCGGGAAAGCTAGAAAAAGTCAGCTGCAGAGTGAAGAAAGTTATGCTGGCGTGAAGTGCAATGAGCTGCGCGTGAGCAGAAGATCACTGGGACATACCTTAGTCCTGAAGTGGGCATCGACAGATCAATAGGCTGACGGCGACGACGGCGAAATACCCTGGATTCTTTATCACCTTCGATACATACACGCTGTGGCAGGAAGACAAGACATCTTCGAGCTCACGTCAGCCTACACGAGTCCCTATAAGTGTCGCGAGAACAAAAAAGCGAATGAACACTTGACCCCTTGATTAACCCTATTGCATTACAACGCCTCCCATGAAGCTCACACGCCACACTTCGGCGGCGTTCGACGAAGCCACCCCGTCACGATAAGCAGGCCGTAAGTGAAACTCGTTATCGAAAGTAGGGACCGTGTAGCCATCGCGCCGGGGCGACTTACGCGCCGCACATAAAGGACGAGATGATTGGCACACGTTGTTCGCGTGACGATAAGCGGCGACAAAGCACGACGCAACGAGCCTCTTCAACAACGCTATGGCGCGCGCGTCCTTACAGCAACACCAAAGAGCAACAATGGCTTTGTTTGGATTGATAAAACTACACTACGAGAACTCTGATAGCATAAGTTTCACCACATCATAAGTCCATTATGAGCGGAGAAAACAAGGTTGAAATACAATTTCTAAACATTTACGCCAAAATCGCCCCGCGTGACGTCAGAAATTTCAAAATGTATTTTCCGAATTTTGGCAACATGTGCTCGATGAGATTTTCTCAAACTTCATACCCTTGGTCTACGTCAACCGCAGATGACATTTTTTATCGATTAGAAGCTACGTAGGACCCAGCAGACGCCTTTAGAATCTGTGACGACGCGATGCTTGTGCAGGAATTTTTTTTTTTTCACGCGTTTTCTCGTTTACCAAGCGTCGTTCTCGCGATTGTGAAATTGTACTCTACTGATATGCCAAAAATCGCTTTTCTCGTCAGTGATCCTTTTAACCAAACTGCCTCTTTAGCTTAGGAGCCCTCCGTTCTGTCGATACCGGTTGTCCAGCCCGCTACCGAAACCCGGCCAAAGCAGCAGCCGAGCAGTCTAACTGACTCAAGCGCGTACATACCCACTCGTCACGGAACTCATGCTAGAGTCACGCTACGGTACAGCTTAGCTTTATTGAGATGCAAAGCTGTTTATGGCGGAGCTAAATACGGTGTGCGTAACCACCCTTACTAAGCATGCGGCACAGCTGGCCTAAGCACTGCCAGACCGCGCTTACGCGCTAGCACGTTCTGACATGTGCAAATGGCTGGGTAATAAGTTGTGGCCTCTCCCCCTTACACTCTCTCAGCAATCACGTGACGGCGTTGGGGGAACGAGATTCCGCGGCCGCGCGATGAACCAATGCGTTCTTCTTAGTGAGAACGCGCTGGGACGCGTTAGCGCGTTCAAACCTGCATAAGCGGCTGTGTAAGACGCCGGGGCCTCGCCCCCTTACACTCTATCAGCAATCACGTGACGTCGTCGGGGAACGAGATTCTGCAAAACGCGCGATGAATCAATACGTTCTTCTTAGTGAGAACGCGCTGGCACGCGCAAGAGCCTTCAAACCTGCGTACGTGGCTGTGTAAGACGCCGTGGCCTGTCCACTTACACTCTATCAGCAATCACGTGATGGCGTCGGAGAGCAAGATTCTACAGACGCGCGATGAACACACGCGCTCCTCGAGAGTGGCAATGTGATGATTGATATGTGGGGTTTAACGTCCCAAAGCCACCATATGATTACGAGAGACGCCGTAGTGGAGGGCTCCGGAAATTTCGACCACCTGGGGTTCTTTGACGTGCACCCAAATCTGAGCCTACGTATCAAACAATCAAAAGTGTTAGAGGATCCCTTTAGGTCCACCCATGCGCTGCTTCGCACGCTACTCATGGTTCCCTTAAATTTAGTAAGAGATGGTGTAATTTTTTTTTGTTTTACTTTTCGTCTGTAAAGGATCCCCCATTCGTCACGCCTGTGGAAACGGTTTCCGAGTTGTGTCAAGTAACATCACAGCACCGCCTACACGCCCAACGAAAAACAAAATAAAAACGAAAAACCTACTATATATACTCAGTGAATCACAGAACGCCTGTCGCAGCGCCTGTTCAAAAGTACACAAAAAGAGAAAAACTATTTCACTCACGCTAGTAAATTACCCTTCCACGATGCCAAAAACACCATTCTTGCCACAAGAAAACTCTTAGTAAGTCAGAAAGCGCGCAAAAAAATGTACAGGTAAATGCGCCATCGTCAAGCTCTTGCGCAAGTTCGGCATTATGTCGTATATTTTGACAGCTCGGTCCTACGTGATTTTGTCGGAAAGAAAATTCATTATATTGCATTTAAATAAGAGCACAGGCTTTCAGGGATTCTCCTACCTCTATTTTTTTTCTAGTAGTAACCATAAGATCGCAATATTGAAACACAATGGCGTTCTCTAAAAAATTGGCAGATCACACATGTAGTGGGAATCGATGACATGCGAAGCACGAATGAGAAATGTTGATATGTTACTTTAGAATCAGCACAACGTTACGAGGTGGAGGTAAAGGATGCCGTACATGACTTCCGTGTCATGATTATCATGTTTGGATGTGTCGTTTACCTCCGTCATCTATTCACGTCACGTGATACCAAATTTAGTATAAGTGAAGCTAGCGAAACAGCCACCTAGCGCATCATGAGCGTGGCGTGTAGTCATGTTGTTACATTATACACCCATCTCATGATTATCATGTTTGCACCAGTATCATGCCTTCGTCATCCGTTCACGTACTGTAATACCAAATTTGGTATATGTAACGCTATAGCGAAATGGCCGCGAGTGCATCATGAGCGTGGCATGTAGTCATGTTGTTACATGACACGCATGTCATGATTTTCATGCTAGGGTATGTCGCTTGTGTTCGCCATGCAATCATGTCATACCATACCAGTTTTGCAATATGCCATGTGAACGGAACCACCGCAAGAGTTGCAGGTCCATGAAATGTAAATCATGACATTCGTGACATACATGTCATGATTTTCATGTTATGACTAGTCAAATATGTTTTCATACAGCCATGTAATGGTATACCAAGTTTAGTATCGATACGACTGATCGAAACGGCTAGGAGAGCTAAAAGTCGTAGTCGGCTAGATAGGATAGATACGCTCAATGTCGCCGAAGTTCGCTAAGAAATGCTTCGCATTTAATAACATTTAATCAGCCTATAGATTGATTTAGTGCATCACTTTAGTATTTTTTAAGCACCGACAGCTTACTCACTATTTATGCGGAGGGCAGAGTGAAAAGGAGAGAGAAAGTTTAAGGAAGGGAAATTTATATAAGGACGCTAGCCACATAAAGCATATCCTAGTTGCTACCCTACAATGAGGTAGAGGAGTAGGCTAAAAATAAAATAACCAATGAAAGAGAGAGAGAAAAATAAGAACACTACCGTCGTGAGCAACATGAGATGGAACACTAAGCAGTTGGCGAGAGCGAAAGTGTTCACAACTCTAAAGACTCAAGCAGCAATGTATCCCGTATAATTGAATACGCCCATTTTATCGGTATACGTCACAAGTAATTGCGGATTAAACGCGAATTCCGTGTTTCCTATCGTATTGGTGACGCGCGCAAAAACGACTACCGTTCACGCCATAGGCTAACAACACTTTGCCCCATGCTAAATTCTTTGGTGGTGACGATGATGAAAAACGGGTCGATCGAAAAAAAAAAGAAAGAAAACTGGTAGGAGAAAAAGCAAAAGACTGCCAAGCGTTAACAACACGGCATATGAGCTGTTAGTTACGTACGATTATAGGGCCGGGTCAGTCCTAGCGTTCCCTTCCCAGCCGCCACTGCGCGGTAGTAGAGACTGTGTCACCGGCGGCCTGATCGTGGGAGCTGAGCAACGCAGAGAAGCGCAGTCGTCCGATCCAAACTTGGCCGCCGCAACTTCGTCGAAATCACTGGCGCGCTTCGATAAGCCCTGGCGAAGACGGAACTCAGCTTCAGTAAAGTCAAGTGGGCAATAGAAGAATCGAAAAAAAAAAAAAACGCAACGCCACTGGACAAAGAAAATACTAAAACTAAATAGTAAAAAAATGACGCCGCCTTCGTTCCTTGTAAACGTGGCTTATGAAACGAGATTAAACGCAAAAGGTGCCGGCTCTTCAGGGAGATACGGCAGCGGGTTACCGAACGCGGAAAAGAACACGTCGTATCCCACTACACAAAAAGAAAAGCTAAGACAGGTGTCGATTGATAGCCGTCCGAAAAAAAAAATCGGGTGGGAGCGCAGATAAGGCGCGCGGCACCGGACAGAAAAAGCATATAGGCGTAAACGTGTCTCACTGATAAGAAACTCGCGTGACTCCACGCTCTTATATCTCCCGCGTCCTCTGACTCACGCGCTCCACGTCCACAGCGGCTCGATAAGATATTGCATTGCACGAGGAAGGTTAATGTTTATCAAGCACTCCGATAAGGAGGACGCTGAGAGCGCATCTGCGCCGAACTGCTGATGTGAAACGGGCGCACCACACAGCGTCGGACGAAGAGCCAAGCCTCGTGTTATCTCCAGCGCTCCTCTGATGGAACAAAGCTTTTCGCAGGTTCTAAAAAAGGGGGTGTCATATCACTATTCTACACTGCGGGAGCTCTTGTGGTTCGCGCGGTGGGATGTTCGTCTAGTTCGGCTTCAATCGGCGTTTTTCGCACAGGGACTGACTGCAGGTCATCAGGTCTGTCACTTATGGTCTAAATTACCGCACAAACAGGTTATTTTACTCGTCGCTGATTAACAACAAATGAACTTAACCTTGATTCATTATGCCTTACGTACCTAATGTATTGACAACACACGGAACGAGCTATCAGTTCCACTCATTCGTCATCGAAATCGGCGCTTTCGTGCAGAATAAGAACGTGCCGGAAAACGAAATTATGTGAATAGATTGCTGAATTTTCATTACAGCTTACAACATTAGCATCTAACCCCCCAAAATGATACAACTAGACTACTCCAACATTGGTGTGCTTTTGTGTGAACGGAAAAGCCTGGAATCAAAACCTTAATGAGTCTATTTCCTAACTTCAAATCATCTTACATAGGGGAGCGCGAGTTTGGTACTCTCCAGACAACACTGGCAAACATTAGGTGGACTGCTTCTGTTATCATTTAATATGTGTCACATTTTTTTTTCGAGGAAAGTGGGTGAGAAAGGTCACGGAATTCACATTGTCTTTAGAAAAAGGTATATGTATATATCAGCAATCAATTATCTAGCCCCGCCACGGTGGTCTAGTG